TTGCATACATCCGCCCATCTAATGGGCGAACCCTCTCTATCTTTAAAAGCATCTGCCTAATGCAGATGCGGAATAAAAAAAAATACACTCCTCCGCCCATTGTATTGGCGGATGAGTTGTGGCAAAAAAACATTTTGTTTGAAAAGAGGGTAGATTGGGATTAATGAATGTATGAAATGGTATATTGGGAATTAGTTGCTAAAAAGAGTGTATGTTGGTAAAAAATTCGAATACTCCACCCTTTCATTTTGATCACTTTGACGAGACTCATCATCAGACAACAACGTTCATTTCCAATAATGTGTGCTCTTCGAATGGAACCATTATAGGTCCTTCGAATCCACCAACTATGATCCATAGTGTTGAAGAGTTTTAGAGGTGTAATCTAAGTACGTTGCTTCGAAGGGTTTAATTGCCCAACTTGTGAATTGAAGGAGGCTGACTAGCTTGTGGATCGAAGGGGGTCACTTCGAAGGAAGCCACATGCCTAACTTGTGGATCGAAGGGGGTCACTTCGAAGGAAGCCACATGCCCAACTTGTGGATCAAAGGGGGTCACTTCGAAGGAAGCCATATGCCCAAATCGAAGCTTGTGACTGAAGGGAGATTACATTGCCCAATCAAACTTTGCTAAATCGAAGCCAACTTGTTTCTTTTTTGACCCAATCGAAAGGCACATTAACATCTTTAAAATTTTACATTTTCTTTATTTCTTTAAACAATTTTTTGTAAACACACACGCGAGAGAAATCTTAAGAAACTGAGAGGGCAAGTTTTGGGGTACAACAGTTGTGTGTTGATGTTTCTGACCTGCTAGCGAAGTTGCCCGTTTATTCATGTTGTGGCCGTTGGGGAGTACTGTATGACCGTTTAATGAACATGTTATATGAAGTTGCCTAGTTATGCGTTGTGGATGTTTTATGTATCTGTGTGACTGTCGGTTTAATCGATGGATAGGTTAGGATAGTGATTACTGGTTGTGATGGTCGTCAGGATGTTAGGTTATTCTGAGCGGTTGGTAGGAAAAGTAATAAGTTTTTGAAGTGGTCGTTTTAGGGAGGTTTCAGCGTGGTTGTCTTGTATGTTTGATGAACATGTTATAGGAAATATAGTTGCTCGTTGTTGTGTTATTCCGAGCGGTTGGAACACCTCACAGATAAAAGATCTACTCTCAAAAGCAATAAGACGAACATGAAGAAATAAATAGGGAGATAGAGAAGTAAGAGAAAGGTATTTCAAATATGTTTTCCAGTGTGAATAAAGTGAAAAATGATCCTTCTATTTATAGAACAATATATGGTTCAAATATGAATCAAATATGGAAATAATCCATGGACTTTTTAAGGCTCATAATTGGTTTTTCCATATGGATAATTGATTATGTAGTAGTAAAAAGCAAGGTTCTCAAAAGCTTAGTTACTAGTCTATTAAGAGACATAATAGTCAATTATTAGGGTTTGCAAAAGATATAATTGACTACTCTAATTGGATAACCAATAATGGCAAGCGAAAAAAACTCTTCAAATAGATTAGAAAAATCCTATAATCCATTATCTAGGAACAAAATCATTTTCTGATAGTCTGAATAAAGTTAGAGAGACTTTCCAATCATTCAAAAGTGTACGTGTGTGTGGTGTGTGTGTATGTGTGTGTTTCCTTAGTAAATTCAATAAATAATCTTATACCTTTATAGACACATATCACTTGACAAAGACATGGCGAACTTCCACACTTCCTCTCTTTCATAACTCTGAAGATTCAAGATCCCTTGCTAGATTTAAAAATGATTCCACACTTCATATGAGACTTTATCTTCCCTTCTATCTGATGATGCTTAAGATAATTCTTCAAGATGAACATCATCACCATACACACTGATTGATCAAATATCTTTATTGACTTCACTAAACTCCACTTGAAGTTAGGTGTTGCTCTCCAAAATAGGCTTTGACATCTTGATCTCCAAGCACCACAAATTGACCACTATAATTGATAAAGAATAATCATAATATAGTCATTATAAAAACTAGATTAACTTGATAAACACTTATGATCCAAAGATAGTCTTTAATATATTGGTGTTTAAGCACCACGACCATGTCACCAAATCATATGACGAATTCACTTTACAGTGTTTTCATTATCAAAACCAAATAGATTGTTGCAAACATCATATTTACAAACATATAAATCCATATTCTCCCAATTTTTTATGTATCAACACATCTCTCAAGGAGGTGGGCAAAACAAGAAAAAGTAATGATAGATTAGAGTGGTTAAAATCTCCTTCAAAAAATATAGAGAGTATATGTAACGCCCGTTAATTTAATTAACTATTTAATTAAATTATTTTTGGATTATTTGTTGAAGTTGCGAGATGTTGAGAATTATTGGTATAAGTTGATTAATAATAATAATGTCGGAATAAAGGGAATATTTATATAATGTTGGACTTATGCTATTGGTTGCAAGTAGTAAAGTGGGGGGGGGGTGTAGGCTAGGCCCAATAGGATTGATATATAAGGCTAAGCTGACACAAGGAATTTTTTACTTAGTGTTTAAGAAGCTCTGTACGTTGACCTGAAGAGTCGCGCGGAAGAGGAGCAAGCTGCCATGTGTCGAGCAGAGCAAAGCAAGGATTCCGGATGGAGCTTTCGTTGAACGACCTTCAATCCAGGTAAGGGTGGGGTTCTGACCTTATAATGGGACTTATGATGTGTATTATGTGGGAATTGGTCGTTTTATGATTTTTCGTGCATTAATGTTTCTGATCTGCTAGTGAAGTTGCCAGTTTATTCATATTGTGGCCGTTGGAGAGTATTGTATGACCTTTTAATGAACATGTTATATGAAGTTGCTCAGTTGTGCATTGTGGACATTTTGTGTATCTGTGTGACTGCCGGTTTCATCGATGGATAAGTTAGGATAGTGATTACTGGTTGTGATGGTCGTCAGGATGTTAGGTTATTCCGAGTGGTTGGTAGGAAAAGTAGTAAGTTATTGAATTGGTTGTTTTAGGGAGGTTTCAATGTAACTGTCTTGTATGTTTGATGAACATGTTATAGGAAATATGGTTGCCCGTTGCTGTGTTGTTCCGAGCGGTTGGCCGAAAGTTATGAACGGTAGTGGTGTGGTCGTTAAGACGTAGTATTGTGTCTGTGCTGTTGGCCAAACTAGTGGTCAAGGAGGATGCTGATGGTGTTAGGTATCGAGCGACATATTAGGCTGCGAGGCGTGTCGGGGGGTTATGCGTTGGATTATTGAGCAGTACTAGGTTGCAGGACATGTCGAGGAGCATAAGTGGGTCATTATCCTGTTTTCCCTTGTGCGTGTCAAGGAGTATACATTAATTGTTAGGCTGTCCTAGTTGTTATGCATGTCGAGGGACACATAGTTCCTTATCCTTTTTTGCCCGTACATGTTGTGTCTTGGTCGTTACATGTGTTGTGTGAATCATTGTTAAGTTGTGGTTTGATTAGGTTAATGATTGAATCGTTGGTTGATATGATAGGCTTATGGCCAATGTCGATTTATGTTGAGTTGTTGTGTTGTTGTGATTCATGTTGTAAATTATTGTTGATAATGCGAAGTTGTAGGGAATTTTAAATGATGAAGAATTACCTCTATTTACTGGTAATAATGGTGATGTAGGCTTATGCCTTATGATGGATGATGATTATTGTGAGTATGTGATAGTGCATTCATATACATTTGCATACTCTGATAACCTGGATTGGCAAACTGCAAAGAAGGCTTATGCCTTGTTAATGCCTCTATTTATGGGTATATTTTTAAGATGGGAGTTCTGCTCTATTGGTACCACATGCACTTGCATAAAGATGAGTTGCATTCTGTGTTGCATTCTGAGTTGTTATGTGATTGACTTTAATTGCCTTTATGTTGCTAAAGATATGAGAAGTGGTGATTATGTATGAACTGATTCTAATGTTTTACTTATCATGTGTTCTATTATAATGTTCAATATCTCACCCCTTCTGTTTGAATGTTACCCCGATGTTAGTAACGTGCAGGTAATCCAGGGTGAAGGCGGTTTACCTTTAGTAGTTCAAGTCGGTGTCATTGCTCTGATACGTAACACTCGCGGGGATGAACGCTTGCTGTTTATTTGTTGTTATTATCTCAGTTGATTGAACTTTAAGTTGTTGTTCTTTAAATGATTGTTATTTGAAGTTGTCTTAATTGGACAAAGATGTTACATTTCTTTTAAGTTGAATATTATGACTTCGTTGCATAGTTATGAAAGTTGTTGTTTCTTTTTAAGATAAAATTATGTTTGTTGTTGGTTTATCCAAGTTTAATGTGTTATGTATAGGAAATGAATGCCGTTGGTTTAAGTTGAATTTGTGGCATCCTGATTCAGTTGTAGAATTTTTATAACTCTGATTTATATTTATATTGTCGGGTATAATTGGGGTGTTACAGTATACCATACTCCCCCTGTGAGTATACTTTTCCCACTTTGGAATTATAAAAATGACGAGGGAAAACAATAAACATATATGGTAGGTTTTAAGTACATAGATCACCAAAGCATGCACGAGCATTTAAAATTCAAAATACTTAATTAAATCAAAATGAAATTCAAGTACAAAAAGTGGGAAAAAGTAGGAATCTTAAAAAAAGAAAGTAACAAAGAAACAAAGCAAAAACTTATTCAGAATCATCATCATTATCATTGAATATTCCATGAGGCATCCGAGATCCACTTTGTTGGAAATTCTCTAAACCGCTGCAACTTCAGATCTGGATAGTTGCCAAAACTTGTGTTTCTTTGGAGAAAGAATATCAAAGACCATATAATGGATGAGACGAATATCAGGGAAACCTGACCTCACCTTGAAATGAATGGGGATACCAGATCTAGGATCAACCAAGAAGGAATAACAATATATATAAGAATAACCATTACCTCCAACTTAAAATCATGAGTTTATGCACGAAATATTGCAAACCTCGACAAACTCTTCAAAGGATAACCTGATGTTAGAAAATAACATCCTTACCAAACTTGGAAACATATCTTCAGGGATGTCACAGATGAAACACCTTAGTGAAAATGGCTCTGAGGAGAAAGGTGTTGATGAGGAGCTTCATGAAGTACATATTATTTTAGGAGCCATTTATATGACGAAGATTGCAAGAGGTTTTGCACAAATACAAAGAAAACAATAAGAAAGGAAGTATAAGAATGCAAGAGAGGGATGAGAAAAAGGAAGGTTGTGAGTACTTTTATATATATTGTGCCTCTAAACGACTAACTACCCTAATAATTGATTAGGGAAATAAATATTAAATTCCCTCATAATTTGATTGCAGATGGTACACGATATCATAGGGCCATAATCGATTATTCCTTAGGGTTAATAGATTATGTGGAGCAAAAATTTGAATTTTAAATTTCAAATATGCTCTAATCGATTGCACTTAGGCCTAATTGATTGTTAAGGTATTTTTAGCTCATTTTGCTCCGTTTGGGCACTTATATGATTTTGGGCTTGATTTATGGCTTTTGGAATCTTCAAAATTCATCAATGCACCCTTTTGACTAGATTTTTCAATTTTTCTATGCATACTTTATAAAGGCTCAATCAAATCAAAAAACAAATATACGTTGGCGATAAAATCATATTTACTAAGCATGAACAAGACCACTAGGCAGACAATCTTGGAGTTATTCAATTTAATTTTTTAAGTGTTTTACATTAGACTCTCAATATATATTGAGAAAACTCCCACTAAGGAGGAAATGGGGAACTATCATCAAAAGTCCATCTCTACAGACTACTTGATACGAGAGCTGACTAAAATAACATTAGTAGTTAATAAATCATCAAGGATTCTTAGGTTCCAAAACATCATAACCATCATGACTGTTGAGCACCACTATAAATGCCAATAAATAGATACGTCAAAACACGATAGTTGAGCATCATCGTCAATGCTAACAGTTGGATCAAAACACTACTTTTAAGAACTACCATTAATGCAAACTGACATGACTCTAGAGCACCACCATAAATGCTAACAACTTGATCATGAATCATTAAACTTCTTTCATATAATCACATTATACACATTCTTTGTACAACTTTATTAAATTTTCATTAAGCACCCTCAAAGCTACACAACATTCCCTCCAAAACATACCAAGTTTTCACATTTGTACCCAAATATTTTTGTGTCCTAGTGCGTTAGTCACTTTAAAAGGTATAGAAGTATTCCCTTTTGAACCTATTAATTTAGCATAGCAAAATGATTCAAGATGACGTTGCATTTAAGTACTGAGTGATCAAAATTCTTTTTATCATGTCAAATATTATTAAGCGATCTATTAGAATTATAACTTATGTCATTTTTATTAAAGGATGTCTTTTGATTAGAAAGAATTAAATCGAACTTTTATTTATCCTTAGTGAATTCCTCCAAGGTTGGTTTCATGCAAATTAGTTACTTCATTTTTCAAAGATTCTCAAGATTCACATTTATCTGATTTTAAGGATTCACTTCTTATGTTAGCAATTCCTTCACCAATAATCTTATTGCTATTTTCTAAGAATTCAATATAATCCTTAAAATAATCTTAAGAATTCCTTCACCAATAATCTTATTGTTGTTTTCTAAGAATTCAATATAATCTCACAGCTTGATCATGAATCATTAAACTTCTTTAGTATAATCACAGGATACACATTATTTTGTATAACTTTATTAAATTTACATTAAGCATCTTCAAGGCTACACAACATTCCCAACAAAACATATCAAGTTTTCATATTTGTACCCAAATTTTTGTGTCCTAGTGCATTAGTCACTTTAAGAGGTATAGATGTATTCCCTTTTGAACCTATTAATTTAACATAACAAAATGATTTACCAAACTTATTACAGAGTTACATTTAAATACCGAGTGATCAAAATTCTTTTATCATGTCAAATATTATTGAGTGATCTATTAGAATGATAACTTATGTCATTTTTATTAAAATATGTCTTTTAATTGGAAAGAATTAAATTGAGCTTTTATTTACCCTTAGTGAATTTCTCTAAGACTAGTTTCATGCAAATTAGTTACTTCATTTTTCAAAGATTCTCAAGATTCACATTTATCTGATTTTAAGGATTCACTTCTTATGTTAGCAATTTCTTCACCAATAATCTTATTTCTATTTTCTAAGAATTTAATATAATCCTTAAAATCAATAATGTTCTCCTCTAATTTATCATTCTATTTACCAAGCTTAAACATTTTATTACAAGTTAAGTGGGTTACATTGGTGTCATCTTCTCTAGAAGCTTTGAGACATGTGGAGCTATGCAAGTGTGAATGTGATAATACTTGATCATGAATCAGAGTTATACTTATATATGAGAGACGAAAATAATCAATCCTTGTTGATCCATGGTGGAATGTGAAAGATGGTTGGATGTACATCAATAATGGATATGGCCACTGGAGGCGTGCTCCTATGTGATGCTCTAGAGCGGGTTTCCACGTGCACATTAGTTATTGAAGAGCTTTAGTAGGATAAAGCCGGTCTTGTCAAGTCAAATTTGTTAGATGAATTTAAGTTTGACTGATGTGTGTTAAATGATTACAAAATGATAATCTAGAGTTCAATAACTAACGACGTCATTTTTATATTTATGCGTTTATATAAATAAGTTGTTTATATTTATATATCAACAATTTTTATAATTTTTTTCCCAAAGTTTCATCATAATTAGAACTCATATCAATTCCTAAATAAATTAATAATTTAAATAAAATAATAAAATGGTTAAATATTTATTTTAGTCCCTTTAAATATGGACTATTTCACTTTTAATTTTTTTTCAAAGAATCATTTTCCTAATATTTTTCGTCTACACTTTTGATCACTCTTGTTTATATTCGTTAACAGAGATTGACGTGGCATACCACATGGATGTTTTTGGTGACTGGGTGTGCACGTGGCTATGACAACATGGCATATATATTGATGTGGTGTGCCACATCACTTAAAGTCAACATCATAATTATTTGTAAAAAATGCGTTAGATTGCGAGGACCACAAATCTCCTTTAGATAACCTTTTGTAGTTTTTTACACTACTATTCATTGAGCACTAATATTTAGTATTTTGATCGAATCACCGTCTTATTTGGCACTATAATTGCTTACTCTGTTCCTGCTATATAAAACCTTTAGCAACTAATGAATTTAAAAGATTTGAAATCGGATTCAAGGTATTCTTATTAACGGTATTTGAGCTCAGAGCTGACACTATGATCATTAGAGTTGGTGGACTCCGTGTGTCCTTTGCTTGTGATTTCTGCAAGGTATCAGTCTAAACATTAGGATAAGTTGTAGGTGCGAGATCTCTAATATATTGGTTTTGCTGACCATCCAAATGTTGAGATGTTTTAAGAGTTTGTGGACAATCTTGCTCAATCAAATATCTCATTGAAGGACCGTGATGTATTGTTAGTGGCACAAATGAAGACTGTTGTTGCAAATGTGACTGTTCAGAAAGGGAGTTCGACACCTTTAAAATCAAATTGTTGTTGCCCCATAATTTTGATCGTTCCTATTGTTGTATACGACATAAAAGACCGATTTCTCATCCTTACTGTCAAAGAATTTGAATTCTTAGGCAAGCCACTAGAAGCTAAAATAAATATTTCTGAGGTACTTGACTTCATATTCAATTTGATATTTGGGAGCTACTTCAGCTTTAGTATACTACATACTTTAAATAAGTTTCTAATCCCTACAATCTAATGTATTTTTTTTACAATCAATTATAATGTTGATTTTAAATGACACGACACATTACATTAGCATATTTGTCATGCTGTCGCTGCCATGCGAGTACACAGTCACCAAAATTTTTTTCATGTAACATGTCACGCCAATTTCAATTAACTAAAGTCGAGAGAAAAGACAAAAAAAAAAAAGAAAAAGTGAATGATAAATCGTCTATACTAGAAGGATTAAAAACATTTTTAACCCCTAGAAACGGTTAAAAAAACATCAAATATTCCTAGGAGTTACTTTACTACCTAGAGCTTCTAAGTTGTTGCCGCGATTTTTCTTCTGCTGTGTGTGAAACAAGTCTCACTCGCTCGACGACGACGACGGCAGCGTTTCAACCGAGATCTCGACGGTGGCTATCGATCTGCCACCGTCCAACCTCCTCCTCTACTTCAGACGACGCCTTTTCCAGATCTGAAACCTCTCTCTAATAACAGGTTTCATTCTGCTTCCATTCAATCCCAATTGATTCATTTCTACGTCTACCAATTTCGAATTTCCATATCATCGTCTTGAATGTAATATGAACTTCACGATTTGAAATTCACCTTGATTCTATACGTTTTACTCGATCTAGATTTCCAATTTCAGATATAATTAGCTTGTTATCTAATCATTGTTGAATCATAGATGTGTTTTCTCTTGTAATGTTGAAAGTTTGTCACATTCTTGTGGTCATGATTGTATATGCGCACTCTAACGTTTATTCCTTTGGATCTTTTTGCATGTGTACTCTATAGAATCTTTCATTTGAGATACTCTGCTTCTTTGTCAATTGTTTTATAAACTAAAGTGACAATCAAGGTGATCTGTAACAGTTATTCCTAGACTAAAGGAGAATCAGTGAGAAATGGAAGTCAACAATTGGCATAACGATCTTACATATGATAATTGGGTACCTATTTCTGTATCTGGTGCACGTCCTCCCGCTCGCTACAAGGTTTCTTTCTCTTTTTCTTATTTTATTAGAAAGATGAAAGAATACAAAATTAAAACGAAAGCATAAAAGTAGTTTGTGATTGATTGAGTCTTGTCATGAGCTATTTTGCTTTGAATGATAAAAATGAATTTGTCGTTCAAAACCTTCCTTAGCCTTGGCCCAAATTCTTATTCCAATTGCTGTCCTTTCACTGTAGCATGCAGCAGCAGTAATTGATGAAAAATTATACATTGTCGGTGGAAGTCGTAATGGTCGGCATTTATCGGATGTTCAGGTATATGGTATGCTTAGATGCTCTGAATCTTGGAGTCTTTGTAGTGAGTTACATGGTTTAGCTTTTTTGCAGGTTTTTGACTTCAGAAGTTTGACATGGTCTTCTCTAAAGCTAAAAGCTGATACTGGAAACGATAAGGGCAACGGTTCACAGGAAAATCTGCCAGCCACATCTGGTCACAGTATGGTAAAACTTTCTGTGCACAAATAATCTCTCTGCATTCGTACATATTTCAGTATTAAATATTACATTTTTTTTGGTCTGGCAATTGATGAACCTTGAGTTTTAGTGACTGTCTGGATGTTTGATTTATATAGAGATTTGTAAATTTCTGCAGATTAGATGGGGCGAGAAACTACTTATTTTTGGTGGCAAGTCAAGGGGTTACGATACATTAACAGGTTGCTATTTGTAAATTAATTTTTATCACGAGGAGGAAATATATATGTATAAGGGCCTAATTTATTTCCAATATGTGCATAGCATATTATAGCATGGCGTGTTACATTTAAAACTTAAAATGTTTGTTGGATTTCTTGCAGTTCTATACATTGACATTGAAACGTGCCAGTTTGGAGTTATTAAGTCTTCTGGAAGTGTTCCGGTAAGTATGCCCATTAATTTTAAAGCTTGAAGTTCCATCCTTGGATGTACGTTTTTTTGTTGGGTTAAGGACTTTGATATCTCGTTCACTAAATGGTTTCACTGAAAATTTGGTTTATGAGAGGCTAATGGTGTTGATTGATTCATGTAGCCAACCCTAGTAGTGGGGTAAGAGTTGGTTGTTGCTCTTCTGATTATATCCCTTTACCCTACTTCTTTTTCTTTTTGATCTATATTTTTTTAGGATATTCAGTCTGTGCAATATTTCTTCTTAATATCCATTAATAAATGTGGGAGTCACTTTGAGTGTGGTTAATAGACATTTGAATATTTTTCGTCTATTTTTCCAGGTACCCCGTGTGGGACAGTCTGCAACATTGGTTGGTTCAAGAGTGATATTGTTTGGCGGGGAAGATATGAGCAGGAAGCTGTTGAATGATGTCCATGTTCTCGATCTTGAAAGTATGACTTGGGATATAATAAAGACTTTGTAAGTAGTAGCTGTTTTTCACTTCTAGAAAATGTGTTTTCATGCTTTAGAGAAATTCAGCGCGATTATACCACTTTCTTGCATTTTGATAGGCAGACACCTCCAGCTCCTAGATATGATCATGCAGCTGCTATGCATGGCGAACGATACTTTATGATTTTTGGCGGTTGCTCTCACTCTTTCTTCTTCAATGATCTTCACATATTAGACTTGCAAACTGTGAGTAGATGTTAGTTTCAAACTTCTTTCACATGCTTAATTAAATCAAAGTATCAATAAGGTTGTTTCTTCTACCTGGGGCATTCAGTTATTTCTGTTTTTCCCCCATTCACAAAAGTGGTTTCTCATTATAGTTAGACCTCCCATTATCCAAGTTTACACTAGGAAGAAAAAGGACTGAGAGAGTCAAGGCATGGAATTTCCTGTACAGTGATAGCATAATCAGAGGAATCTGAGTTGGTGGAAATAATCTCCCCCCTCCCCCCTCAGTTTTGTCATTTAGTCTGGATGCTAGTTACTGAATTAGAGAGGACCTTCTGTCTAATGTGCATATTTATATCATGTCATCATTTCGGCAGTTGGGTATTGATGATATTGATAGGTATATATAACTACTGTGCATAATATACAACTCCTACTACACTCTTCTGCATCTTATGCTTGACAACATCTATTATTTTTAGAGATTTCCTTTCATATGCTGGTTTTTGAAGTAGAATATGTTTCATTTGAAACATAATGGTTATTGTTTTACTTCGTTAGCCCGGACACTGTAATCGATGAAATGAAAGTTAAGAACTACTATGATATTCCTTTTAAACTTCAAAGTTCAAAATTCAAATTAGTTTTATACTTACAATTCTTTATTCTGAAAAATGCTTTAGTTGTGGCCATTGATCTTCGAAGCTGTTTTTTTCATCATACAAGTTTAGCACCAATAATTTGATGATCTAACAATCTCATTTGGTTTAGATGGAATGGTCCCAACCACAATCTCAAGGTGATTTAGTATCTCCCAGAGCTGGACATGCCGGTATCACTATTGATGAAAGCTGGTTCATAGTTGGTGGTGGCGATAACAAAAATGGTATGTACTAAATCAAGAGAAATAAATAAATAGTGACAGAGAGAATCAACAACGCTGCATGGAAGTTCACTTCATGTGTTTTATAGAATAATAACTAATTTTTGCTAAAAAAAGAAATAATAACTAACTAGAAAATTCATTGAGCTTAGCACTGGCGTGAAACTTTAAATAGAATCCTATCTTGAAGCACATTCTAAGGGAAAAATGACTCCCTCTAAGGATGTGGGCATTCTGCTCAAACCAAATATATCAGCGGACTGCATAAACCCCACACTCCAAAATAAAAGTTGCTTCCTTATTTCTAAATGAACCAAAATAAAAGTTGCTTCCTTATTTCTAAATCAACCAAAATAAACTGCTTAAAAGCATGTGGTAGTTAAATTAATTATTGACGTCAACTATGCATAATTATGCTCTCTGCATGAATGAAACTTCGATATAGATGTATGATTATCTGATTTTCGAAACAGGTTGCCCAGAAACCCTGGTCTTAAACATGTCTAATCTTGTTTGGTCAGTATTGGATGTTGTGAAGCAAAAAGATCCACTTTCTAGTGAGGTAATTACTTTATGCAATCTGTTCATTTCATATTTTCAACTGTTTCCAGGAATTATGTATGGAGGATAGTAATTCTCTCTTTTCCAAGACTGGTTTCGTTTAAATTTTTTTATATATTTTTTTCTCATCCATATTTCAATCCTGAGATGGGGAACCACTTTCTTTTTTGACCCCCATTCGAGACCTTCTGATTAACTCTGTTTGCCAAAGTGGTACAAAAATGAGTGTGATAATGATTCACACCCTTTGCATATTGATTTATATGTGACGGAAGTTTTCATTGCTTATCAGGGTCTTAGTATCTGCTCTGGATTGATTGATGGTGAAACATATTTGTTCTCTTTTGGTGGTTACAATGGGAAGTATAGCAATGAGGTATGTAAGAATATCTATCTTAACATTGAGTATTTAATTATTAAATACCATTTGTCTTGTCAAAATCTTAGCAAAGATTACTTTTCTTATAATAGATAGATGATATACCTAGCTAATTGATTTTGTTGAATTCAAGTAAATTAGGCTCTACTATAACTTGAGTCCAAATTAGTTTGCAAAGAAAAACACAGGTTCTAGTATTTAGAATTGGTTTCTCGGAATTAGCTATTTGTGCTTGTTAGCATTGAAGGTTCAACTGGTTACAAGGGAAGAAGATAAGAATTCTCAAGGCATTCACAGTATGCAATAAACTGACTGATTCAAGAAAGTCACTCCAATTACAATTGAGTTCAAAAACTAACTCTCCCTTCACCTCCAATTACTATTTATAATCCTGTTTTTATTCATCTGTTACAACTGTAACTACTATGTATAATTCAGTTTTACTAACAGAATTAGTTACGCATTTGTTACAACTGTAATAATTATAGTTATAAGCTTAATTCCCACTTTTACCCGTCCTAACATACACCCTACTAACATCTAGGACTTTCACTTTGTCCTCAAGGGGAAAAGAAGGAAATGCTGCTTGTAAGCTATCCATGCTTTCCAATGAGTTGTCACCTTTTGGAAAATGTTTCCATTTTGCCAACACTTCTGCTGCTCCCTGGTTGTTGTATCTTAGCTCAATCACATCTTCCAATTCTGGTTGAAGGGCCCACTCTTCAGTGATGGCTGCACGCAATGGCTGGGGGTATATAATTTGCTGGAACTACCTTCTTTAATTAACTCAAATGGAAAATTGGATGCACTCTACATCCCTCAGGTAACACCAATTTAAAAGCGACAGAACCAATCTGTTCCGCCACTGGGTAAGTGCCATAGTACTGGGGATAAGCTCGTTCCTGAGAGTTTGAAATGTTGAAGGAGGGTTAGCTAATCCAAAGGATATAATCAAGAACTCATAATGTCCCTCGTGCGTACGAAAAGCTTTTTTTGGAGTGACATCCTCTGCCATCCTGATTTGATGATAACTGAATTTCAATATGTTTGCTCCCTTCTTCAAGATAATTGAATGGTCACGCCTCCTCTCAGGTGGGGACCCTTTAACCTTCTGAAAAACAACTTCAAACTCCTGCAACAGGGTTTGGAATGTTTTTCTTTCAATTGCTTCCCTCTTGTAAAATTCTGCAATCTACCATAAAGCCTCTTGTGGTGTTTTCCCACTCCGCCACCAATTGTTTAGCTGACATTTCCCTTTTTGATAGGGCATGATCACCCAACAGATTATACTTGACCCCATCTTTCTTGATTCTCAATTTCAAATCCTTGAAGTTGGCTTTAATGTCTCCAAGACTCTCCAACCATTCCATTCCCAGTACATCTTCTCCATCTTAACAGAATACAAGGAAGTCAGTCGCAAGACCAATTCCTTGTAATTTGATCTCCACACCTTTTTACACACCCCATTACATTGGATTTTTTTCTCTATTTCCCACCTTGACCCAATAAGACGTTGTAGTTTCTGCCCTTAGGCCCCATTTCTCCATCAACTTGGAAGAAATAAAATTATGAGAAGCTCCACTATCTATTAACACCAGAACCTTTTGTTTCCCCAATTCTCTCCACATCATAAAAGACTTTTGTATAGTAATTCTGCTAAACTACACAAATCAAAAAAATTTATTTATGCTTCCCATACAACTTCCTGCTTCTTGGATACCTCTGAAACTTCCTGTTTTCTTCTATCACCAGAATCCGAAAATGTTTATTCTTGCATACATGATTTGCAGAGAATTTCTCATCACAAGTGAAACATAGTCCTTTTCTTCTTTTTTTCCAGAATTTCTTCACTAGATAAAGGCTTATGGGTGGAATTCTTACCTCCTCTATGTTCTCCTGCTGCACTTTTTGTTTGATCTCCATTGCCATAACTGATTTGCTTGCTCCCTGGTCCTGCTTTCCAATTTCTAAACCCACCAGATTTGTTGAAAGTTAGATTCATGTTTCCAGCATTCCCTCCGGATTTGCCCAGACCCAATTTCTCCTTGACTTGGAGAGCCACATCCATCATTTCTGCCAAATCTTTGGGCCTTTGCAGCCTCACTTCACCCTAATTTCCTCCCTCAATCCATTAGAGAATATTCCTAGATGAGTTATGGATCTTGGATCTTCAAATGCCCAGTAAGAGCTTCAAAGCTTTGAAATTCCTTCACCGTGCCTTCTTGTTTCAGTCTCAACATCACCTCCACCTCATTTGAAACCACCGTGGGTTGAAACCTTCTAAGTATGACATTCTTGAATTCGCGCCAATCGGGCGCTGTAGTGTTTGCCTCCCACCACTGTATCCATGCGAGGGTTTTTCCCTCCATCGCCATCAATGCAATGTACAGCTTGTCCTCCTAAGGAAGTTGTCTAAATCGAAAATAACGTTCAATTTTTCCAATCCACTAAAAAGCGGTAATTCCACCTTGCGATGCCTTCTTTTTGATTTGCTCTGCGTGGATCGACTCACAGTTCCAGGTCTGCCATTGGCATCCCCAGAATTGCTTCCCCCTCCACTGTTACCAGTTTTGGGGAGTCGTCGTTGATTCCCTTGTTCCAGGTTCCCCATGATGAGTGTTTTCATTGCTTGAAGAATCTGTTTTTATTGTATCCATTCTTGCTTCCACCTCCTAAAACCGTTGTTCCACTTTTTCTGGTCGCAACTCCATCATGTTGCTCTTATACCAGTTGAAAAGTTTGACTGCTACAAGGAATTCAAAGTATGCAATAAACCGGCTGTTTCGAGAAAGCCACCCTCCAATTACAATTGAGTTCAAAAACTAACTCCCTTCACACAATTACTATTTATAATTCTGTTTTATACCAACAACTGTAACTACTCCCTCCGTCTCAAAAAATGTCCTATTTGAGCATTGCGCGGTTCTTAGGAAAATTATTAGATGTATTGATTTTAATGAGATAATTAGTTTCATTTACTATAGCATCCTTATTAATTGTAGTTAGTGAAGTACTTGAGTAGAGTTAAAGTTAATAAATAAGGGTATAATAGTAGAAAAAATAATAAATGTTGCATTGGTATTGTAAAGAGGTATTTATTTTGAAAAAGAGAAAAAGTGCAAATGAGTACTTTTTATGAGACAGAGGGAGTACTGTGTATAATTCTGTTTTACTAACAGAATTAATTCATTTGTTACAACTGTATTACGAGCTTAGTTCCCACTTTTACCCTTCCTAACATACACCCTACTAACGGCTGGTCTACTAACATAGCATTGGCTAATACCTTTGCAACTTGACTTGGATACTTTTTCCGTTAGCTACGAGACCAGTGATTTTGTGTGGTAGTCAGTGTTGTGCAGTAGTGACTAGTGACATTTCCACAATACCCAAACCTCGTGTTGTGGAGATCAAATTTCTGAGGTGGATGAGTGAACATACAAAAAAACAAAACAAAAAGATTAGGAGTGAAGACATCTGGTCATGTTTGAAGATGACCATGGAGGCATCAACAAGAAAAGTCGTTCAAATAGAAGATAGTCCACTCCAATTTGACAGACCGTCCACTATTATCACTGAGATTAAGATTAGGAGTGGTTTTATTGGAAATTTGGTATTCAATGCTAATAAAACCCGGTGGCATCAATTATCCACATAGGAAGCTAGTAAGATAAGGTTTGATTGTTATATCTTGCAAATTGATTGAGTTTAATTCAATCAGACTAGATTCTAATTTTCTACCTGACATCATGTATTGCAAATGGCATGCTATGCTACAAATTCTAAAATTGCTAGCTATACATATTTTTAAGCACACTTCTATTTTTTAATTAAAATTTTGGTGTATTCTGTAGTGGTTTCTGTGACTGACTGCGGACTGTGCAAATTTAGGTTTTTGTTATGAGACCCAAGGCAAAGAACACTTTGCGTCCCAAGATTTTCCAGTCACCGGCTGCCGCAGCTGCAGCAGCTTCTGTTACTTCTGCTTATGCATTGTCTAAATCTGAGAAGTTGGATTTCTCGCAACTAGATGTTACAAATCCCAAGTCATCTGTAAATGGTGGTCATCATCAAGATGATGTCACGGTTAAAATTGAAGCCATTAAAGAAGAAAAGCGCTTATTGGAACTGTCAATTGTAGAAGTCAGGGCCGGAAATTCCAAGCTTGGAGGTGAGATACATGAAGTAAATAATAGTCATGCTGAATTGACCAAGGTATGTATAACAATTTCTCTGCAAGGTACACTATAACTTAATTGATAATTGTGGTTTTCATCATAAATATGTATTTTCAGGAACTCCAATCAGTTCAGGGACAACTTGTGGCTGAGAGATCAAGATGCTTTAACCTGGAGGTTAAAATTCACTTTCCCATCTTTGAAGTTAGCTCTTGATTTATGGGTGTGTAGGATTTGAATATATAGGTAATGTTTGTTTCCAGGCCAAAATTACAGAACTCCAAAAGTTGCTTGAATCAATGCAGTCTGTGGAAGATCAGGTACAGGCTCTTCGGCAAAAGAAGTCTGCTTTTGACCAGGAGATGGAGCATGCTGCAATTGTTCAGAGGCAGAGTTCTGGTGGAGTTTGGCGATTGTTTGGTGGGGGTGAAAAATAAAGATTGAGGGCAATGCATCTTAAAGTGATTTGGGAGTTTATTCTCCGAGAAATTTGCACTTATTTTTCTTTCAAGTAGCTGATTGTTTTATGTTGTTTAAGTTCATGCAACAAATAACATTTTCTTGCTACAGAGTTCTTGGGCCCTCATCTTGTGTTGCGCATGATGGATAAGATATTGAGCTCCAATTTTGGAAAAGATGATACAAGGTTTTTGAATTTGTAATTCACACTTTTAATAGGTTCACTTTGTCTGGTTCATTTCATACTTTTCCATTATATATTATAGGATTTACTATAATTTCATTTATTCTATTTTATTGAACATATTAGTAATTTACTTTCAATTGCTAGAGGAACACAATTTTAAATTTATCGTGATTCAACTTTCAAGCATGATGACTTCTTCGGCTACACCTATATTTTCATTTTATGGAATACAATTATTTTATGGTGCCCTTTGGAACTCCCATCGCCCTTTTTCACTTTTTATTCATTAGATGGCCATGACATGGTTTTGGTTACAGGGCGAGCAGGATTAATATCGCCAAGGGAGATATTAATATCGCCAAGGGAGATATTGTCACGAGTCATGACATGGTTCCCTTGGCTTATGGTCTTTTCTTGCCAATTCATTTTTTGAAATATTTCAATATACAATTCACCACCACAATCGTATTTGTTCAACAAGCAAAGTTTGAAATTTTTTCATATTATAGCGGATCTCCATATAATTAAAGCCTTAAGACAGAAACACAACTAAAAAAAATTCAGGAATATACAAATTCTATAGCACAAGCATCAATATTCTTTATTAAATATTTTATTTTAGATGCATCGAAGGGGTTGAAGTGACAAAGCAAAACATTCCGTAGCACCATCATTTATACTCAAGGTACTCATAACTTAGAGACAAGTTCATATTTGCTTTGGGAAACAAGATCCTTGCGCAATATCTTGCCAGCAGCTGACCTTGGAATATTGTCAATAAAACTCACCCTTCTCACTTTCTTATAGGGAGCCACCTGAAAATTCTTAAAATTAGTTTGAACTAAAAAGATAAAGAGAAACAAATTAAAATAACTGCATCTAAGAGTTGTAAAAATTAGCTTTGATGAAGTCAAAAATTCCCTGCAGTCACTGTATCTAGTTCGTTGGATGAAAAATAAGATGGTTTTTATTTCAAGTATGTCTCTTAAACCTAGTTCGGTGAAGTCAAAATATTAAGTTAAAATTTAACTTAAATAAATCTGGTTTAAACTTAGAATATGAGCTGTTTGCTCTTCATCCAACAACTAAGCAACAATGGTTACAGCTACTGCAGCATTTTTTTACTGCACGAAATCAGGATCCGAGAGCGGCATCGCATACCTGGCCTGCAACAAATTGAATGACATGGTCTTCTGAGAGTTGAGAACCAGCTCTTCTCACCACATATGCCATTGGTACCTGTCCAGTTTCTTCATCTTCAACCCTGCATCATTTTTTTTTCACTTAAAGGAAGTCACAGAGAGAATGAAAATAAAAGTGAAAATAGGCCGAGCCGAGGCTAACATACGGTATAACTGCTGCATCAACAATAAGAGGATGACTTAGTAGCACAGATTCAAGTTCTGCAGGAGCTACCTGACACAAGCAATACACATGTATTAACTAAAACCAAAACCGTTCCAATTACCAAACTCAACTTGATACTTTAGAACTAAAGGGATTTACCGAAACTATTGAAAATTGTCACCTATGAAAACTGAAACTATTTATGAGTACCTGATACCCTTTGTGCTTGATTAGCTCCTTTATTCGTTCAACTATGCAGATGACTCCGTTCTCATCAATATAACCAAGATCACCTGTTCTCAACCAACCTTCTGAATCAACTGTTGCAGCTGTTGCCTCCATATTTCCTAGATATTCTTTCATAATAGTGCCACTTTTCAGCCATAACTCTCCTTCCTTGTTAGGAGGCAAAGGCTTCCCTGTTTCAATGTCCATCACTTTTGCACAAAAAGTCGGAATCAACTTTCCACATGCTTCTGGATGAGCTTTAGCGTCTTTATCCGACGCAAAAAAGCTTGCTCCCCCACAACTTTCTGTTAGTCCATACCCCGTCCTTAGTTCAACCCAAGGAAACATCTTTCTGAACTCCTGTGACATTTCCTTACTCAAAGGTGCTGCACCTGAACCAACCCTTCTTAAGCTAGACAAATCACACCCATCTTTGCTTGCATGTTTCACCAATGCATGGATCACCGGCGGCACTGCTGGTATGTTACTAACTTTGTACTTCTCGATAGCGGTAAGCATAGCTTGGAAATTGTATTTCTGCATCAAAACTGTTGTAGCACCAACACATAACAACCCGAATCCAAAGAACATGAGTCCATAGATGTGAAACATTGGAATGAAGGCGAGGAAAACATCGTCTTGAGATGCTGATACATCAGCAGACCAGCAGAATAGTTTTATTATGGTTATGAGATTTGAATGTGTCAAAACAACACCTTTGCTTACACCTGTGGTCCCTGAAGAGTAAAGTATAGCAGCAGTATCTGATTGTTCCACAGAAACACACGGCAACTCTTGTGAATCATAACAGCCTTCTATTAACTCTTCAACTGATAAATACTTTACATCAGATGAACCAGAGGTAAGAAGTGTAGGAACACCTGTTGGGACCAGTTTATGTAACTCTTCTGGTGTAGAGATGGCTAGTTTAGCACCCGAATCACGTACTTGTTTCGCGATTTCTGATTTCGTATTGAGAGGATTCGCAGTGGTAAGAATTGCACCAATAGATAACACGGCTAAGCATATTGTCGAGTACAAAACCGAGTTTGGAGACAATAAAAACACAACATCACCTTTTCTAACCTCAAGTCCATGGAACAAAGCCGTTGCAAGCGAGTAAACCGATCGGCGAAGCTCGCCATAGGTTACACTATGATTAGTATTTAAATCAATAAACGCAATCTTCGCGTCAGCAAGTTCTGCTTGTGGGAACTGTGATAGCACAAGACTTGCTGTGTTAACGTTTTGGTCTGTTGGAATTTCATGCTTGGTGCCAAGCTTTTCAAGAGAGTGATATATTCCTGTTTTTGAATTGTAGCCACTACTGTTATCAAATGGAGGCAGAGATTTTCTAGATTCTTTTTCAACAGATGGCCAAATTTCCTCTCCTGACATTTTTTCCTGCAAAACTGTTGTTGAGGTGAAATGAGAGTGTTAACCATACACAACATATATCAATGCATTTTCTTTTCGTAAAGTACTAGGACTAACGTTGTTAAGTACTATGTTGATTATGTTGAAGTTAAGGTTAGTAAGACAGTATATTTTTGTCCTTAGTTTTTTGTGGCCGGCCAAGAGAGTGTGAGACATATATACATGATGTTCTCTGCATAGGTCAAGATAAATAATTGAAAAATAAATATTCTTTTCATCAACAATAGAAAATAAAATAATTGAGAGTGTTTGGTGTTTCTTCCTTAAATGATGGTGCACTATAGTTAAACCATCACAATAGTTCCAATGGGCATTGGAAAAAGGGATGGATATTTCAAAGCCTTGGAACTATTTCCTTGAACTTGACTATACATTCAATTTAGAAAAATATTTTCACCATTTTAACAATTTTTTTATATTTTTATCTAAATATTAAATTTTATTCAAATCATTTTAAATTTATTTTGACATTAACTTCTTTCATTTAAATACCTTCTCCAAACACATTCTATGAATAGTAATAATGGTTGTAATTTTGCGCATCGATAATCCAATATCTATATTGAAATTTATTGAAATTTTGAAGTCATATTTTGCTCCTGTAAATAACAAGATTTGTGAAGGGATGGAAGGGTTTGAGTATTTATATAATCTTTAAACGCTCAAGAAAATCTCCTCTACTTCCTCTCATTTTCATACGAAAAAAAGGATTTGAGAAAATATTAAAGTACAAAAAATCTACGTGGTAATAGATTACCAGATACTGGTAACAGATTACTAATAATAGATTATCAGATATTGGTAACAAATTATTAGTTTTCAATTTTTTGACCATTACTATGTGATATTCGATTACCATAATTTGTTATTGGTAATAAATTACTAGCTGTCAAAATTAAAAAAATATAGTTGTTGGAACATGATAATCGATTATTGCCTGTTGGTAATTGATTACCGCGCGAAAATATACATCTTTTCATGGAGCAATGACACTTTTTGAGATGGGAAAACTCCATGCAACTCCTCCATTCTTATACATCTATTCACAGGGGTTTCATAACATGTATCTAAGGTTTTCTACATCAGAATTCAAACTTACCTCTTTCAATCAAATTTAAACAACAATTCAAATATGTTTTTAGAGTTTTTCTCAATCCAAACTTTAAAACTTTTTCTGCATTAATTGTCATATCATTGCAAAAAGTTTCTAAGAAACTTAAGATTATTACATTTGAATTTTACATTGAAAGAAAAATTTCACATTCATATTTTTTGAATACTTCACATTCATATTTGTTGAATACTTATATTTGATCATCGGGTTTGTGGTGTCTTGTTTTGTAAAGAAAGTGTGTGCATTTTCTAAGAGTGTTTGTAAATAGAAAGTGATATATTTTCTATTTTGTGTTGTAAAAGGGTCTTTGAATTGTGTTGATTCAAAGTCCATTATAGTTGTTGGTGTTTGGGAAATCAAGGAAGTTGTGTGCTTCTTTGTTGTTGTTAGAAGATTGTATGAGAAGTCTTGGTGTGAGACTTGTACTAAGATATAACAATAGTGAAAATATCTCAGAGTGTGAGGGATATACCCTTAATTAGAAAGGGAAACTAGTATATATAATTGTGTTATTTACATTTCAACATTTATTTTTCTGTACTTTACTTTTTAAAGTTAATTAAAAAATTCAAGATAAATAAGAACACTCAAAACGTCATCTAAAAAGGAGAAAATTACGTCAAATCTAATTCACCCCTTCTTAGGTTGTGCGTAGGGGTGGGAATAGGCTGGGCGAGCTAGGCTTTTCCAAGCCTGAGCCTGACCTGCTAAAAAAATCAAAGCCTTAGGACCTGTAGCCTATCATAGGCTTATTTTTCGGCACGAGTCTGACATTTTCAAAGGCCTGATTAGCCTATTAGCCTGCTTAAAAAGCCTATATCATTTGAACATATGTAAATAAGCAATTCAACTAATATTTAAATATACTAGAGAATCAAAATTACAATTAGATTAAATGTTTGTTTATATTGACTTATTTGAGTTTATATAGTAGCATAAGTTTTGTGATAGTATTTGTTTGAGAAAACTTATGAAAATAACTTATGACATTATTCATAAGGTTTTTTTCACTTATTTTCATAAGTTCTTCAAAATAACTATACTTTACTTTTGTATTTTAATATAAAGTACACAATACAATATTAAAAATAATAAATTTATTCATATTTATTAAAATAGGTCGATCTGATAGGCTTTTTTATGACCTGTGGCCTAGCCTATTTAACTAAATGGGCTTATAAAAAAATCTAGACCTTTTCTACTTAAAAAAAGTCTGGTCTGGCCTTGGTCTGTGTAGGCTAAGCCGTAGGTCCCTGTTAGTTGGCCTGACCTATTCCCACCCCTAGTTGTGCACCCAATACCTATATTTGGCATCAGAGCAGGTTAAGGTAACTTGCTCCTAAAGATTCAAAGAATAGCTTTCGCAAATCCAGTTTTTAGAGACGACAGTAGTAACAATAAGCTTTATGTGTCCCGTGGTGAATAATATGATTTTTGGAAGATTCGTATGCAAGCACATCTTGAAACACACAAAGAAGAAGTATGAGGTGTTGTTGAAAATAGCTCCTACGTTCCTAAAATGGTGATCAATGACGTAGAACAAGAAAAAGTAAAAAAATTCTTGTAATGAAGATAATAAGAAAAAAGTTCTCCTTGATAAGAAGACAAATAATCTTATTCAAGCAGCACTAAACATGGATGAATTTTTTCGTGTCTCTCAATTAAAAATATCAGGAAAAAAATAGAATACATTATAAGTATCTCATGAAGGAACAATAGAGGTTAAAAGATCTAAACTAAGTACTTTATCACGAGAATATAAAATGTTTAGAATGCAGCTCCATGAATCTATATTGATTTGTAAAAGAGGTTTAGTCATTTAACAAATCATTTGATGGCTCTCAGTAACAAATTTACAAATGATGAATTAAATTTAAAAGTACTTAGATCTTTGGTTAAAGCTTGGCAACCGAAGATAACTGCTATTTTACAAAAGAAAAGCCTTTCAAAATTGTCTTATGCAGCATTGTTCGACAAACTTCAAGAATACGAGATATAACTTGAAAAATTAGAAAGGCATTATTTACCGTTGTTTTTGATAAACAACCGCTGATCTCCAAAAAGGAAATTTTTTTTTGGTTTACTTACGGGATCGATCAGATTAATCCCAGAACATATGCTAATTTTTATGTAAGACAGATAAGCAGGAAGAACGCATGTTCGACCCAGAGAAAAGATGTTTGAGATTTTGGAAAAGTAGACAGAAATGTAGAAATGCAAGTAAAGAAGTAAGGAAGGTAACTTTGCAAGATAATATTAAAGCAATGTAAAAGACTTTCATTAATAAAAATAGGTGTTTCCAACGTACATTTCTCAGTTTTATCCTTTCTCACGCAGCGGTTACTTGGATAATGTTTGAGTGACTAGTACAATAGGTTGAACACCCCAAAAAACTACACAAGTTTCCTAATTTATACTAAAAACTAAGTAACCGTCGAGGGATCATTCTGCGCTAAGATGAAGACAAGTGTCTTCTGCATGTCCCTCGACCTATGGCTTTCAGCCACGTTGCTTCTTCTTAGCCGCTGGCGAAACTGCCTTTCCCTCCAATAATTCAAAATTCAAATATCCCTCGTATCATGTGTCAAAGCGAGGATGTTTTCTCTCAGTCGAAGGACATAAGTCCTCTTCAGTCGAAAAGACCTGAAAGTGAGCCCTGGTCGAAGGCTCAAATATAGCTTAGATCTTCTTCCTAAGTTATTCCATACGTCGAAACATTATTCTTGACTTGGTTCATTCCAGTTTTTTGGTCTAAAAGACCAAATATAGTAAGTGTCAAATTTGAGAGCCAACAAATTGCCCCCTAAGAATGTCTATTTCGACGCTCAAAGAAATAGCCATTCTTTGATCTTCCCATTCGACACCTGTCTTTCCAGTTGTCCACAAGGTCTTGACGTGTGCTTTTCGTCTTCCGACAGTTGCTGCTCTTGAGAAAACCATCATTACTCTTTCTCCAAGATGTCTTTTCTAACTGCCGTTACCACGCTTGCCATGATGACCATATTCCTATAACCTAGGCAAGCATGTCAAAACGTTTCCCAACGCTTGCACGGTAACCGCTTCACACTTCGCCACGTGCCCCAATATCTGTAAAACATTAAATGGCCTTGACGAGACATATCCCTCTCTGAAGGCTATAAATACTTCTGAACCTTTCTATTTGGAACTTTTACCATTCTAAGCATTTCCAAATCTCTTGCTTTCAAACACTATGTACTGTCAACTTCGTTTTCTCCCAAATCTTCAACAATGGCTTTCCTCTCTAATGCACCAAACAATCCTCAACCTAAAAACGCTGATGATGTCCAAAACCCACCAGAGGTCTTTTCTACTAACCCTTCTCCTTCCTCGATTGATCGGTACGTTGCTGAACCCATGACGAGGGAGTGGCGAGAAGCATATGATTCTCAGCTCCTCATTCCCATTAGGTACAGTGGAGACATGTATGCTATGTCTGGTCCTTTGTCTCTGTGCATCGAAAATCCCTTAAAGAATCACGCCTTCTTCCCTACTCACCCAAGGCTCAGACCCATAGGTTGCACGAAGAAGCCTAGGGATGACCCTGAAGATGCTACTCCGGCCAATCAACAACATGCTCAGACTACAGAGGATATCAACCTCCAATTCATGAACAAAGGGAACATAATCTTTCGATCAAGCCCTAACCCCTCCTCAGAGTATTCAGACTGGTTGAATAAGATGGAGAAGGCGCAAGCTTCCGTCTGGAAGGAAATGGGCATTTATGACTTGGTGATGCTGTCGAAGACAGGATTGCCTTACTGTCCCCTCATGCTGGTATCTTCGCTGTACTTCTGGGATAACGCACATTTTACCTTTCATCTTCCCT